CCACCCCCTCCACCCCTCCCCTCTTTTTTAATCTATTTCCCCCAGAATCTTCTTCCCAACCGTTTATTTCAATTTTCTGCATTTTAAGTCTATCACAAAAATTTCTCAAGTCCTCTGGGAACCTCAATTGGGCTGTTATTTACCCATTTTCCATCCTATTAAACTCTCCGGAACTCCCCATCTATATTGCACCTTCTGTTTTTTCATCTGCTCCAGCAAAGGCCTCAAAGTTCTCCTCCTCCGGAGAGTCTCTAGTGACAAGTCCGCAAATATTTGAATATCCATTTCTCCCATACTTTATAGCTGATTTTCCCTTAGTTTTCCTCCAGAGTCTTTCCCTTTTGCTGTACTTCATAGAATTTTACAAGTATGTCTATCGGCCTGTCCTTCTCATAATTTCCCTGGAGTTTCCCATTTCTAGAGATTCTTTCTATATTAGTCCTTTCCATTTCAGAATTTTCCATTATATAGTTCAGAATTTTGCAGACCATCTCTTCCAATATTTCTCCCTTTTAAACTTTCCGGTATCCCTCTTATCCTTATGTTCTCTCCTTCTTTCTCTATTCTCTTGGATTTCCGCCTTGTACTGCAATTTTTCCTGAGTTTTTCCATATTAATTATCCTCTTCTCTAATTCGGAAATAATCTGGTTCTGATTTTCAACTTTCTGCTCTGTTTCTTCCACCCTTAACAACAGCTGCCCCCAGGTCATTCCGAATATTTACCATTTCTTGCTTATTGTTCTCTCCAGCTCTTTAAACATTTCTGTCATCTCTTTTTTATTTGGGATTTGTAGGTCTTTTTCTGTCTCTGATATTTGCTGATTACTGATATCCAATTCCAGTGATTGTTTAGGACTATTTTTGCATACTTAAATCAGACTCTCTATCATTTCTGCTCTGGGGCCTTTCTGGGGTCACATTTCCCTGGGATGTATACTTTTTAATTGTCCCAATTTGGGTCCCCTTAGGCCCGGTTCCTTTTGTACTTTTATTTTTCATTTCTTCTGTAACTTTTATTTTTTTTCTCATAGACTTATACTTTACAGAAACAGGGATACTGATAAGATATAGAGGTAGAATTCCCAGCTCTGTCTTCCCACCTTTCTGTGCGCCTTTTGGCTACACCTTGCGCTCTTCTCCTTATTTTTTATTATTATTCTCTGGGGGTCCCCCCCTTTTCTCTTTCTCCCAGCTCTATACAGTTTTTTTTTTTTGAATATTTGGGGCCCCCCGCCAGACTCACTCACCCTTCCTGCGCTTCTTGTGAGACAGCTTCAGGCTCCACCCTCCATCTCTCGAGATAGATCAGCTCTCTTCCTTTCAGGGGGACCCTCCAGGACTTTCCTCCACACTCTTCTACTTTGTTGGATTGTTGGGCAGGCTCTCACCATTGATCCCCTGCCAAGGCTCCAGGGATAGCAGGTCGTCCGACAGAACGGGGATCTCTCCTGCTCTCTGTCAGCCTCCGCCGGGCGGCCGGCTACCTTGCCTCCCAGGGATGCACCGCGGCCGGTCACGTGTCCCAGCCGCGCCTCCCTGTTTCCCGGCAACCAGGCTCGGCATCCAGGCTCAGCGTCCCCGCCTCTCTCCCGCCGGTCTCCGCTCTCCACTCCCCTCACCGCGGGTAGCCACAGAGCCAGTAAGTCCCCCGGTCAAGGAAGGTCTCTGCCTTCTAGTGCTCCATCTCCATGGGGGAATGTTGAGGTCCAAGGGGGGGTAGGTCGGAGGGGCCTCGTGCGGGAGCTCCTACCACGAGCTCTCCGCCGCCGCCATAGTTAGGCTCCGCCCTGATTCAGCTGGTGTTTCTTGTAGGAATCCCCGGGTACTGATGGCTTTACTAATGAATTTTATAGAACCTTTGCCCCGACACTGGCTCCATATCGCTCTACTCTTTTTAACCATGGGGGCCTCCGTGGGTACATTTCCGAAAGAAATGTTACAATCCATAATCACGACCATCCCAAAACCAGGCAAAAACTCCCAACTAACTCAGAACTATAGACCAATCTCAGTACTAAACACGGACATCAAACTTTACGCTAAAATAATAGCTCAAAGACTCCTACCCCTCCTGCCTATTGTTAATCCACCCAGACCAAGTAGGATTCATCCCTGGTCGCCAGGCACCTGACGCCTCCAGAAGACTCCTACCCCTCCTGCCTATGTTAATCCACCCAGACCAAGTAGGATCATCCCTGGTCGCCAGGCACCTGACGCCTCCAGAAGACTCCTACCCCTCCTGCCTATGTTAATCCACCCAGACCAAGTAGGATTCATCCCAGGTCACCAGGCACCTAACGCCACCAGAAGACTCCTACCCCTCCTGCCTATGTTAATCCACCCAGACCAAGTAGGATTCATCCCAGGTCACCAGGCACCTAACGCCACCAGAAGACTCCTACCCCTCCTGCCTATGTTAATCCACCCAGACCAAGTAGGATTCATCCCAGGTCGCCAGGCACCTGACGCCACCAGAAGACTCCTACCCCTCCTGCCTATGTTAATCCACCCAGACCAAGTAGGATTCATCCCAGGTCGCCAGGCACCTACCGCCACCAGAGACTCCTATCCCTCCTCCACAAACTAGACCACACTAAACAACCCTCCATACTTCTGTCCCTAGACGCAGAAAAAGCTTTCGACCGTATTCATTGGAAATTCATGAAATTAACGCTTCAAAAATTTGGAATTACCGACTGAATGCTTTCTGCAATCCTCTCGCTATACTCTAACCCATCGGCCAGAGTGATAACCGATGGCACACTTTCACAACCCTTTTGCATCTCCAACGGCATGAGACAAGGTTGTCCATTGTCTCCTATAATATTCATCCTATTCGTTGAACCTTTAGCTGCAAAACTCAGAGCTGATCCGTCTTTCATAGGAATTACTCATCTTGGTAGAGAACACAAAATAGTCTCTTTGCTGACGATATCATATTAATGATAACAAACCCTCACAAATCGCTTCTTGCAATTCGCTCTCATCTTCAATCATACTCGGAAGTCTCTTACTATAAACTCAACGAATCTAAATCCTCGATCCTAGGTCTCCATATCCCCACCCAAATCCAAAAAACGTTAACTAAACAGTTTACCTTTTCTTGGGAACAGCATAGCATTCCTTATTTGGGGATAAAACTCACCCCCTCAATAGATAGCTTATATATATCAAATCATAAACTTCTTGAATCTATTCCACAAGAGCTTACTAACTTGAGCACTTCCACACTGTTGAAATTGGGCAGGATAGCAACCTTAAAAATGTATATACTTCCCAAAATTCTATATATATTCTGCACACTCCCTATCCCTATCCCCAATACCTTTTTTTACTAAACTACAAGCGATATTTGCCAAGTTCCTCTGGAACTCAAAACAACCAAGATATACAACAAATCTCTTAATACGCCCAACGTCCATAGGAGGTGCAGGTCTCCTGCATTTGAAGTCATACTATACTGCAGCCCTGCTAGACCAGATTTATTTCTGGTGGCACCCTAATTGGGAGAAAACATGGTCAACTATGGAAACTATCCCGCACACCCCAATCTCATCTCGAGATATTCTATTTCTACTGTGAATGCTCCAGACCACTACCATATTTAATCATCCTTGTATTCGGGCATCTTTACAGGCATGGTATGATCCCGTAAGTTGCACTTCGAATGAAACCACATCACTACCTACCCCTATTGCCACTCTCCGAATCATAATTCCCTTTTTAAACCTATTAAAATGGGAACGAGGAATTACCCACTTACAGCACTTATATACAGAAGACACCTTAGATTCTTTCTCCACTCTACAAAGGAAATTTAATCTTCCTGATACGGAACACTTTACGTACTTGAGAATTGCACACTCCCTACAAAAAACAAAGCTCCCACTTACGTTGAACATCCCTACTGTTGCATACAATTTTTTTCAATAAAACACAATACCCACAGAAAGGGATTTATACTTTTTACACGTATATTACCAATTCGCAATTCTCCCTACTAACAACTTCTCTAATCAACTGGGAGAAACTTTTCTCTCAACATATTCCGTCACCAACATGGGAAAAATCTTTTACCATTACCTATAAAGCTTCCCTGTGTAGCTCCCACTGGGAATCATATATAAAAATTTTGTACTTCACACCAGTTAAGCTCGCCCTCTTCTATCCTCAACACTCCTCTGCGTGTTGGAGACAATGCGGAGACATAGGATCAACTCTTCATATACTTTGGACGTGCAAATCCATCAGATCCTACTGGAGTAGTGTGTTCCACTTGATCTCAACACTGACTGATTCCTTAGTGGCTCCTGACCCTGCCCTTGCATTGCTTCACATAGGAATTGATCAGTTCCCAAATGATTCCCGCACTGTTATCATTCACACACTAGCAGCTGCTAAAATCAATCTCACCAGATTGTGGAACTCTACTAACACTCCCTCTATTACCTCGCTGATAGTGGACCTCAATGTCCAATGTGATATGGAGAGAAGATCAACTCTTAATAACTCCTCATACCATAAGTTCCAATTCCAATGGGCTAGATGGCTACGAAACCCGAACTGCTCTGTAATATGTTGATGACTTATATGTACGAAACCCGAACTGCTCTGTAATATGTTGATGACTTATATGTACAAAACCCGAACTGCTCTGTAATATGTTGATGACTTATATGTACGAAACTTGAACTTTCTGCACTAGACTGGTATGGTGGTATTCCCCTCCCTATTTCCATCCCTTTCCTTAACCCCTTCTTTACCTCCTTTCCCTGCCTGTTATTCCCCTTGTTTATATTAACTATACGAAGGATTGCGGTTCTTGAACCCAATAATCTTCTCAGGTTAAGTTAACTAATACTATTTCCCCAGCCAAATGGTGGGGTTTCTATTTTGCATATTCATTGTGTAATGTTTAATTTGTTGATTAGAACCTCCATAAATCCAGTCTAGATACATAAATTGTGTCTGCAGCACAGAGAAGGAAGATTATCCAAGAGAAATCCAGGAATACAGGACGGGGAACACAGCTCAGGAAAGTGACCAGGGGATTACAGGCTGATATCACCCAGTCCCCGCCCTACTCTGGACCAATCAGTGAGCAGTATGGGTGGAGGAATGGATTTAGTGTTCATGACCCACCTGTGCTGATCTCTGTAGGAGTGTCCTCCTCTATAAATGTCCCCGTTATTCCATCCTCCTCCATAGACTGCTGATCATCCCTCACATACGCCTCTTCTTCTTCTGCTTTCACCTCAAATTCTATATCGATTGGATCTCCACTCTAAATCAAGGAAATGAGAGAAAATATCATCTGTAAAATATAAGGTCACATAAAAAAAAATCCACACATTGTCTCTATGAGTCCATGTTCTAGATGCTCCATCCCACCAACCTTGCAATAGTGAGGGATGGTGTGACCTTCCTGTGTGGAATCCCGGGAATACAGAGGACGGGGACATCTCTCTGGTGGGTTCCTGGTATTAGGTGGCTCCATCATATCCTTGTGTCCTTCTGAAAACTCCTCCATCACTCCATACTCCTCATCCTCCTCTCTTTATCTTCTTTAACATCAATATTATCATCCCCGAGGATTCCACTCTGAAAGATATAATAAAACATTCATTGTAACAAACATGCTGTGTATAAATCACAACTACCAATAATTGTCATCATCTACCTGATGATGGTGAGGGATGGTGTGACCTTCCTGTGTGGAATCCCGGGAATACAGAGGACGGGGACATCTCTCTGGTGGGTTCCCATGACTGGATCCATCTGTAGGAAACACACACACTGACTGAATCCATTGTTTCTATGTGTTTATCAGATGATGGGGGATCTAGGTGGATCCTCCGTACTGCTCTCTCCTTTACAATAAAGTCTCCTCTTACCCGGTGATGTGAGGGGCGGCTGATTGTCCATCATGACGTCCTTGTAGAGATCCTTGTGTCCTTCTAAATATTGATGTGTATCATCATCTGCTGGAGATAAAAGACGTCACAGTGACTATGGAGGAAGAGGACGGGGGACTATGGAGGAAGAGGACGGACAGACTATGGACTAGGACGGACAGGACTATGATGGAAGAGGACGGACAGGACTATGGAGGAGGAAGGACGGACAGGACTATGGATGAAGAGGACGGACATGACTATGGAGGACTGGACACAGGACTATGGAGGAAGAGAGACAGACATGGAGGAAGATGACTATGAGGACAGACATGACTATGGAGGAAGAGGACATACATGACTATGGAGGAAGAGGACGGACATGACTATGAAGAAAGAGGACGGACATGACGGGGGGTTACTGGGTGTAAATAGAACATAACATCTTATTACCGTTTTATGACTGTGGCCTGTGTCTGGTCTGTTTGAGAATCATCCCCCCCATTCATGTGATCCTTATCAGTTCCTAATTGGGGCGGAGATGAGTGCTCATTTGGCCATCTCCCTATAAATTTAGAACAGCTTATGGGGGAGATCACTGATGGGGGGCACAGATTTTCAGTGAGGGGGTGTTGTTGATGGAGTGCGAGGATGCAGTTGAACACAGCAGTTGAACTAAAGCAGGAGAACTCAAGCAGCAGGAAGATACAACAAGAAACTCTACTGCATGCTGGACAGACTGCAAGCAAACACCCCGGGAAACATCTCTTACAAGTCTGAGTCCCACTCCGTGTACCTTTTCATATGTCCCCTCTACTCCTCCTTTTCATATTACTTTCCTGCTTTACCAAAATCTCACTTCTTTACCCCTCTGCTCCACCCCAAAACTTGTACATCTCCCCCTCACTGCTACCATCTCCCTACTACTGCTCTCATCACCTCCTGCTGATACTTCACTCTCCTGCTGACCCAAACACCAGGACTGGAAGGCATGTGTGCTTGTGTAAATCCCGCTCCCATGTTACTTTCCTCACCCTTCTTCTTCTCCTAACCTCTGGGGATATCTCCCCAAACCCTGGTCCTCCACTATCTCACCCCCACACCAGGCATCCTCCTTCTCCTAACCTCTGGAGATATCTCCCCAAACCCTGGTCCTCCAGTATTTCACCCCCATACACCAGGCATCCTCCTTCTCCTAACCTCTGGAGATATCTCCCCAAACCCTGGTCCTCCACTATCTCACCCCCACACCAGGCATCTTCCTTCTCCCAAACCTCTGGAGATATCTCCCCTAAACCCTGGTCCTCAAACCCTGTATTCCACTATCTCACCCCCACACCAGGCATCCTCCTCCTTCTCCTAACCTCTGGGGATATCTCCCCAAACCCTGGTCCTCCACTATCTCACCCCCACACCAGGCACACCCTCTTTCCTCCATGAATAGCCGAATCCCCTCAATTTAATATCAGTCCCCGTGCTCCCAAAAACCACCCTCCCTTTTTCATGTGCGCTCTGGAATGCCCGCTCTGTCTGTAATAATCTCACCTCTGTCCATGACCTTTTGTCTCCCGCTCCCTTAACCTACTAGCAATTACAGAAACCTGACTCCAAGCAGCAGATTCTGCTTCCACCGCAGCACTTCCCTATGGAGGCCTCCTCTGGACCCACTCACCCAGACCCAGTGGTCAGAAAGGGTGGTGGGGTTGGTTTGCTTCTGTCCCCTGAGCACCTTTGAAGTCCCCCCCTAACCCTCCCTCTCTATCCTTCTTTTCTTCCCAGACTCACTGCATCCGGCTGTTTTCTCCCATTTCTCTGAGGATTGCAGTGATCTATCGGCCTCCTGGACCCGTGTCCCGCTTTCTTGATGATTTCTCTGCCTGGACACCCTACTTTCTCTCCTCTGAACTACCCGCTATCATTCTTGGAGATTACTGTATTTTTCGCCGTATAAGACGCACCTGACCATAAGACGCACCTGACCATAAGACGCACCTAGGTTTTAGAGGCAGAAAACAGGAAAAAAAAATAATGGACTGAACTAATGGACTGCAGACATAGTACAGGAGATGACCAGAGACCTGCTTACAAATGACCACACAGTACAGGAAATGACCAGAGACTGCGGACAGCACAGGGATGACCAGAGACTGCGGACAGCACAGGGATGACCAGAGACTGCGGACAGCACAGGGATGACCAGAGACTGCGGACAGCACAGGGATGACCAGAGACTGCGGACAGTACAGATGACTGCTGACCTTTGGGGAGGTGGGGAGCGGGTACCTGAATTTGACAGGTACCCGCTCTTACTTCCGCAGAGTTTTTGTTTGATCTTACCTGTTCCTCGATCCAGCCGCGCGCTGTCTTCCCGGCTTCTGTAATGGCGCTCGGCATGACAGCCGGGTGCCCAGTGCACATGAGCAAGAAGCACTTGCGCTTTGTGATTGGTCCGGCGGCTTCTGGGATCTGTCATGTGTCCCAGGTACCGCCTTACCATTCACAAAAAAAAAGCACCGCTTCTTGCGCATGCGCACTTGGCACCCGGCTGTCATGCCCAGTGCCCACACTACACAGAAGCCGGAAGACAGCACGCCGCTGGATAGAGGAACAGGTAAGGTCCCCCGCTGCAGAGCTGAGCGGCCGGCCCGCTATTCTGACACGGCCGCGGTGGAAATACCAGACCGGCCGCTCCATATTCGCTCCATAAGACGCACTGACATTTCCCCCCCAGTTTTGGGGAATAAAAAGTGCGTCTTATACGGCAAAAAATACGGTATAAACATCCCCATTAATGACAACAACCGGCTACAGCCCAACTCTTCAACCTAACCTCATCTTTTGCATTAGCACAATGTATACGGTCCTCCACTCACTCTGATGGGAATACATTAGACTTGTTTTCTCTCATCTTTGCACTCCCTACAACCTCACAAACCCCCCCTTTCCTCTCTCTGATCACAATCTCATCACCTTCACAGTCTCCTCGTCTTCAAACACCTATCCCTCCAAGCAGCAAACAATTACCCGCAGAAACCTTCACAACTTGAACCCTTCCAGAGCAAAAAGTTATCATGCTGGTTTACAATATAATCAGCATATAGCTCTGGTGAGTGTATTCATTTCATTTCATCTGGTGTCAGATTTGCACATGGGTGTTTGTTTTCAAGATTGATATTGGATTATCACTGTTATGGTGGCTGGACTTATGTTTATATTTATGAATTTATTTATATTTTTATTATTTATCCTTGCATTTTTGTGAATAATTAGTACACTTTTTATTTGTACACTATTTTACCTTTTTTGGTTAGAGGTGCTGCTTATTTGATTTATTTTGTATTTTCTGTGGCGCTTCTTATATCTGCTACAACTTGAACCCGGCTCCTTTCCACTCTGCAGCTGACCAACTCTATGACAGAATCTCTCCCCTGCCCTGACCTGGCCACTGCTGTCTACAACAGTTCACTGTCATCCACATTGGACTCACTTGCTCCTCTAACAACACGAAGCATCAGGCCCCGACCATTACAACCGTGGCAGACTGACCACACCGGACATCTTAAGAGACATAGTCGTGTGCTGGAGCGATTGTGGCGTAAAACCCAATCTCAGCAAGCATTCACCCGATATAAATCTGCTTTCTTCACATACAATTCCTCCCTCCATGCTGCCAAACAAGACGACTTTGTCACTCTTATTAATAACTTGTCATCCAGTCCTCGTCGTCTCTTCTCTACTTTTAACTCTCTACTTTCTCCACCTCCACCCAGCACCTCACTCACCTCACTCACAGCTCATGAGATTGCAAATCATTTCAAAAAGAAGAATGACAATTCATAGGGGCATCACCACTGCACAGACATCCATCCCACTTAGCATACCTTATACTAAACCTCCCTCCACACTTTCCTCTTCTGACCTCGCTACTACCGAAGAGGTCACTAAGGTTTTCTCAGAAGCCCGTCTCACTACCTGCCCCCTGGATCCTGTCCCCACAACTCACAACTACTACGGTCACCCTCTTCTTCCATCCTATGTTCATTCACTCACATCTTCAATCTCTCTCTATCTACTGGTGCCTTCCCCTCCCCTCTAAAGCACATCACTCCCATACTTAAAAAGCCCTCCCTGGACCCCACCAACCTGAACAACTTAAGACCCATCTCCCTGCTGCCATTTACCTCTAAACTCCTAGAACGCTTAGTCTACAATCGCCTGAGCTCCCACCTCACTGACAACAACCTTCTCGACCCTTTACAGTCTGGCTTTCGCTCACTACACTCCACTGAAACTGCCCTACTAAACCTCACTAATGATCTACTAACTGCTAAAACCAATGGCCACTACTCCGTACTCATCCCAACCAATGGCCACTACTCTGTACTCATCCCAACCAATGGCCACTACTCCATACTAATTCCAACCAATGGTCACTACTCCGTACTCATCCCAACCAATGTCCACTACTCCGTACTCATCCCAACCAATGGCCACTACTCCGTACTCATCCCAACCAATGGCCACTACTCCGTACTCATCCCAACCAATGGCCACTACTCCGTACTCATCCCAACCAATGGCCACTACTCCGTACTCATCCCAACCAATGGCCACTACTCCGTACTCATCCCAACCAATGGCCACTACTCCGTACTCATCCCAACCAATGGCCACTACTCTGTACTCATCCCAACCAATGGTCACTACTCCGTACTCATCCCAACCAATGGCCACTACTCTGTACTCATCCTAACCAATGGCCTCTACTCCGTATTAATCCCAACCAATGGCGACTACTCCGTACTCATCCCATCCAATGGCCACTACTCTGTACTCATCCCAACCAATGGCCACTAATCCATACTAATCCCAACCGGTTTATACAGTTGACCACCCCCTCCTCCTCAAAAAACACCACTCTCTTGGTCTCAGAGACTCTGCTCTCTCCTGGTTCTCCTCCTATCTATCGCAGCGCTCCTTCAGTGTTACCTATAACGCTGCCTCCTTCTCTTCACTACCTCTCTCTGTAGGGGTCCCTCAAGGTTCTGTCCTTGGACCCCTTCTCTTCTCCATCTACACCTCCTCCCTTGGACACTTGATAAACTCCTATGGCTTTAATTACCATCTCAATGCTGATGACACAAAGCTAGCTTTCTACCCCTCACCTCACCCCTTCAGTCTCCTCCTCACCTCACCCCTTCAGTCTCCTCTCGCATTACTAACCTACTAAGCGACATATCGGCATGGATGTCACTCCACTTCCTCAAACTCAATCTTTTCAAAACTGAACTCTTAGTATTCCCTCCAGCCCGTGACCCCTCCCCTGACTTCTCCTACAAGATCAATAATACAACCATCATTCCCTCCCCTCATGCCAGGGTACTAGGTGTAATCCTAGACTCCCATCTGTCCTTTCAGCCCCAAATCCAATCACTGTCCAAATCTTGTAGACTTCACCTCCAAGATACGCCCGTTCCTTACCTTGGAAACCACTAAGCAACTTATTCACTCCCTTGTTATCTCTCGCCTTGACTATTGTAACTCCCTCCTCATTGGCCGACCTCATTGCAGGCTATCCCCTCTTCAGTCTATCATAAATGCTGCTGCCAGACTCATCCACCTTACTAACTGTTCTGTATCTGCCACCCCTCTCTCTGCCAATCCCTCCACTAGTCTCCATTCTGTGTCCTCCACCCCTCTCTGCCAATCCCTCCACTGGCCTCCATTCAGTGTCCTCTACCCCTCTCTGCCAATCCCTCCACTGGCCTCCATTCAGTGTCTTCCACCCCTCTCTGCCAATCCCTCCACTGGCCTCCATTCAGTGTCCTCTACCCCTCTATGCCAATCCCTCCACTGGCCTCCATTCAGTGTCCTCCACCCCTCTCTGCCAATCCCTCCACTGGCTTCCCATTGCCCAATGGATAAAATTCAAAATAATAACAATCACATATAAAGCCATTTATAACTCTGCCCCAAATTACATCACTGATCTTGTCTCTAAATATCACCCAAATCATCCTCTCAGCTCCTCACAAGACCTCCTGCTCTCTAGCTCCCTTGTCTTCTCCTCCCATGCTCATCTCCAGGACTTCTCCAATCCTCTGCAACTCTCTACCCCAACTGATCCGACTATCGCCTACTCTGCTCACTTTTAGGCAATCTCTGAAAACCCATCTCTTCAGGGAAGCCTATCCTGCCCTCGGCTAATAATGGAATCTTTTATTCCTCCTACCAGTCCATCCCCCACAGTTACTACCTTTTGTACCACTAGCCCCTCCCTCCTAGATTGTAAGCTCCGAGGATCAGGGCCCTTGAACCCTCTTGTATTGAACTGTATTGTTGCTGTATTGTCTCCCGTTATATTGTAAAGCGCTGAGCAAACTGTTGGCGCTATATAAATCCTCTCGCTAAAAGGCCCCACAGCTGACAAAGCATACTGTATCAGAGCAAAAGCCATGAGGATAGGCATGATGGCATCCGGAGCAGCTGTATGACCCCAGCTCCGGCACCCCCACTCCATCCGCCACCATCTGGGCCCCTGAGCTACCACCGGAGGTCCCCCGCCAACACCCTGAAGCGGTGCTGGATGCTCCGTCCCTCCGGTGAGTTGAGGCCTACTGCAGCCTACCGCGGCACCCGAAGCCGCGGTGTTTCCTGCCGGCCGCGGCCAGGATCGCGGCCGCGATGAACCGACGGGAGACAGGACGCCTCCGCTCCACCCCAAGGACAAGGAGATGCTTCACCACCCCACGACAAGAGACCACCACCAAAACGGCACCCCTGCTCCCCACCGTGTGCTACACAGCCGCCCCCATGACCCGCACACCGCCATCCCACCAGGGACCCCAAGCCGCTATCCCACCAGGGACCACAAGCCACCATCCCACCAGGGTCTGCAAGCCACCATCCCCACCACCAGGGTCTGCAAGCCACCATCCCACCAGGGACTACAAACCACCTTCCCACCAGGGACTACAAGCCGCTATCCCACCAGGGACTACAAACCGCTATCCCACCAGGGACTACAAGCCGCTATCCCACCAGGACCGCTAGCCACCATCCCACCAGGAACCGCTAGCCACTATCCCACCAGGGACCGCTAGCCGCTATCCCACCAGCACTTCCAGACGCCGTGCCCTCCAGCACTTCCAGACGCCGTGCCCTCCAGCACCTCCAGACGCCGTGCCCTCCAGCACCTCCAGACGCCGTGCCCTCCAGCACCTCCAGACGCCGTGCCCTCCAGCACCTCCAGACGCCGTGCCCTCCAGCACCTCCAGATGCCGTGCCCTCCAGCACCTCCAGACGCCGTGCCCGCCAGCACCTCCAGACGCCGTGCCCTCCAGCACCTCCAGACACCGTGCCCTCCAGCACTTCCAGACACCGTGCCCTCCAGCACTTCCAGACGCCGTGCCCTCCAGCACTTACAGACACTGGCTTACTACACCCTCAGACTACCATGACTAGCCAGCAGTAGACCTAGCTGCCCACCATTCTCCCTCTCCTCCCACAGATGAACTTCTCTGCCACTGCACAACAGACTCTCCACATCTTTACACCCTGATGTTAAACCTTTCACCTCCCACAATTGATCAGCACTCCGCTCACCCTCCCATTATGCCACCTGCACTCCTCCTCCTTGTACTCCTCTTCTCCATCCACAAAATCTCGTCCCCCAACCCCACTACTCCCCCAAAACAACTATACATTGGACCATCACTACTTCCATCTCCCCACTACTGCTCTCACCACCTCCTCCTGATACTCCACTCTCCCACCGACCCACACGCCACCACTTACAGACACACACGCTCCTGCACATCCCGCTCCCATGCCACCTTTCTCACCCTTCTTCTCCTCAATGCTGGGGATATATACACAAACCCTGACCCCTCACCACCTCACTCACCCACTAGGCACCCTCCTACTCCTTTAAACCACCGCAACCCCCTCAACCTTTTACCTGTTCCTCTCCTCCCCGTATCCACCCCTCCACTCTTGATTGCACTCCTGAACGCCCGATCGGTTTGCAATAAGCTTACCGCCATCAATGACCTCTTTGTCTCCCGCTCCCTCAACCTCCTAGTGATCACGGAAACCTGGATCCAAACCACCGACTCTACCTCCTCTGCGGTACTCTCCTATGGAGGTCTCACCTGGACCCACTCACCCAGACCCAACGGTCGTAAAGGTTGTGGGGTTGGTCTGCTCCTGTCACCACAGAGCACCTTCCAAGTCCTCCCAAACCCCCCCTCTCTCTCCTTCTCCTTTGAGGCCCACTGCATCCGACTATTCTCCCCAACCCCCCTGAAGGTTGCTATTATCTACCTGCCTCCTGGACCCGTATGCAGCTTCCTGGATGACTTCTCCTCCTGGTTACCATTCTTCCTTTCTTCTGAGCTCCCCACCATCATCCTTGGGGATTTCTACATCTCTGTCAACATTGACAACCCGGCCACATCCCAACTCCTCCACTTAACCTCCTCCTTTGCACTTGCACAGTGCATACAATCCACCACCCACTCCGACGGAAATATCCTGGACCTCGTCTTGTCCAACCGCTGCGCTCCCCACAACCTCACTAACACCCTCTCTCTGACCACAACCTTATCACCTTCTCTATCTCTTCGTCCTCTAATGCCTACCCCTCCAAATGTCATATTACCACCAGCCGCAACCTGAACCCTGCCCCCCTCCACTCTGCAGCTGATCAACTCCATGACAGCATCCTCCCCCTGTCCTGCCCCGACCTGGCTATGACTGCCTACAACAACGCGCTGTCAACAGCCCTTGACTCACTAGCGCCTTTTTAGCCACACGTAAGATCAGACCTCGACTGCTCCAGCCCTGGCAGACTGATCACACTAAAACTCTCAAACAACACAGTCATGCCCTGGAGCGACTATGGCGCAAAACCAAATCCCAACAAGCCTTCACCCGCTATAAATCTGCCTTCCACACCTACACCTCCTCCCTCTACGCTGCCAAACAAGCCTACTTCCTGACCCTCATCAAAACCCTCTCCTCCAATCCTTGCCGACTCTTCTCCTCCTTTAACTCCCTACTCTCTCCGCCCCCCACTCCACCCAGTACCTCACTCACCGCCCTCGAGATTGCCAATCACTTCAAGAACAAGATTGACACTATTCGCAAGGACATCGCCGCAGCTCAGACTCCCTCCAAACCTGTCACCTCTCACACAAATCACAACTACTCCCTCATCTCCCCTCTCCCTCGACACAATCCGCAGTGATTTTGTCGCTGTTCAAACTCCCTCCAACCCCATCCCCTCTCACACAGCCACCCCCCATCACCCCTCTCCCACGGCCCCATCACCGCTCCAACCTCCACCCCACCCAACATTCCCCATACTGAAGCTCCCTCTACACTCCACACCTTCGACCTTACTACCATCGAGGAGGTCTCCAAAGTCTTCACTGATGCCCGCCTCACCACCTGCACCCTCAACCCTATCCCCTCACAACTCCTACGACCTCCCTCCCCCTCCATCTTACGCTCCCTCACCATCTTTAATCTCTCCCTCTCTTCTGGTGCATTTCCCTCCCCTCTGAAGCATGCACACATCACCCCCCATACTTAAAAAACCTCTCTGAATCCCAATGACCCGAACAACCTCAGACCCATCTCCCTTCTCCCACTCACATCCAAACTCCTCGAGCCCTTAGTCTACACTCGCCTAAGCTCTCACCTCAACGACAACAACCTCCTGGATCCCCTACAGTCCGGCTTTCATCCCCTACACTCCACCGAAACTGCCCTACTCAAACTCTCCAACGACCTCCTAACGGCCAAAGCCAATGGCCACTATTCTGTGCTTCTACTCCTGGACCTCTCCGCAGCCATTGACACAGTTGATCACCCCCTCCTCCTTAATAAACTACACTCCCTCTGCCTCAGAGATTCTGCTCTCTCCTGGCTCTCATCCTACCTGTCACAACGCTCCTTCAGTGTTACCTATAATGCTACCACCTCCCCTTCACTCCCCCTCTCTGTTGAGGTCCCTCAAGGCTCCGTCCTCGGGCCCCTTCTCTTCTCCATCTACAAACCCTCCCAGGGCCAACTCATATACGCTCATGGCTTCAACTACCACCTCTATGCCGACGACACACAAATCTATCTCTCTACCCCTCGCCTCACCCCCTCAGTTTCTACCCGAATCACTAACCTACTGAACAACATCTCAGACTGGATGTCGCTCCACTTCCTTAAACTGAACCTCTCCAAGCCCGCAAACCACCCCCCACTGACTTCTCCATCACGTCTAACAATTCCACTATCAGACCCGCCCCGCAGGCCAGAGTACTTGGTGTCATTCTTGACTTCAACCTTTCCTTCCAACCCCAATTCCAATCACTAACAAACTCATGCAGGCTCCACCTCCGCAACATCGCCAAAATCCGCACGTTCCTAACCCCAGAAACTACTAAACAGCTAATCCACTCCCTCATCATATCACGACTTGACTACTGCAACTCCCTCCTCACTGGCCTGCCTCGCCGCTGGCTATCCCCACTTCAGTCAATCCTGAATACGGCTGCCAGACTCATTCACCTTTCCAACCGCTCTGTTTCCGCCACCCCCCTCTGCCAATCCCTCCACTGGCTCCCGATCGCGCAATGGATCAAATTTAAAATCCTAACACTGACGTACAAAGCCGTCCACCATACTGCCCCGAACTACATCACTGACCTAATATCCAAGTACCACCCAACACGCGCACTCCGCTCCTCAAAAGAC